TCGCGTCTGTCAAAAGACTGGGATGCGACGACTAGCAAGTAACTTAGTTCCGGTGCACAGATTTTGTCTCTGATCATTTGGACAAATCACGATTTCGCAGGTGTTCGAATTTTGGAAGGGGAGGGGATATTTGACCCATGCGTTGGCTGAGAGTTTCTATTTAGGGGGGTGGAGACTTAGCTAGTCTTGTTAGTATCTTTTCTCAAACATCTCGTAAACGTAATCCAGCATCTGACACAATTATGCAAGATTTTAGTTCTGGGTTTCCAATATTATTGTGCTCTAAAAGGCTAAACTGATCCTAGATCAGCACTCCTCTGAAACACTGATACCTACAGCCCTTGACCCCAAGGCACAAACGGCTATTGTCTTACAACTTGGAGATGCTCGGTTGCTGAGTCACTGACAAGACTAAAGTCGCAAATTATTTCTCAGCAGGTGACCGCTTTCCCTCTAATTTCTAATTACACTTTCACTGTGTTTGGAGAACAAGTGACGACCTAAAGATGGAAACAGTATTTTACTTCTTGTAGGTCTGTCAGCTGGTAGGCAAATGTTGCTCCTTGTTGCCTTTTTCATTTAAAATATTTTAAGTTTGTTTGTCAACTGGCTGGCCTTTTCAGTCAGTGATGAGCTGTGAAGCTGATGTCTCTGATGATTTCATAAACACTGCTTACCAAAAAACTGAGACTGAAGATGGCCTTGCTTTATGTAACATTGTCCTGATTGTTGTCTGTAGACCCTTGTCTCTAATTATTGGAAGAAATTGAACATAGTCATTATATTTGTAGGTTACAACGCTGTTTGTCACTTGTCAAAAATATGGAGGATTTGCAATAGGGATGGCCATTAGAAATGTTTTGACTGTTCGAGTATTCACGTGATTTTTGTTTAAGTTAGAATGGGAAAAAATATGTGTGCATTTATCTATAGGCCTATTCCAACAGTACGCAACAATGCCTAATTTATCATGACCATTACAGATAACAAATCCTAATTGCTAAATTGCCCCGATAGATATATAGATAAATCTATCTCTATACAGTGCAATCGGAAAGTATTCAGACCCCTTCACTTTTTCCACATTTTGTTAAGTTTCAGCCTTATTCTAAAATTGATTAAATTGTTTTTTCCCCCTCATCAATCTACACACAATACCCCATAATTACAAAGCAAAAACAGGTTTTTAGAAATGTTTGCACATTTATTAAAAATAAAAAAATACACTACCGTTCAAAAGTTTGGGGTCACTTAGAAATGTCTTTGTTTTCGAAAGAAAATTTTTTTTTTGTCTGTTATTATAACATCAAATTGATCAGAAATACAGTGTAGACATTGTTAATGTTGTAAATGGCTATTGTAGCTGTAAACGGCTGATTTTTAATTGAATATCTACATAGGCGGACAGAGGCCCATTATCAGCAACCATCAGTCCTGTGTTCCAATGGCACGTTGTTTGCTAATCCGAGTTTATCATTTTTAAAAGGCTAATTGATTATTAGAAAACCCTTTTGCAATTATGTTAGCACAGCTGAAAACTGTTGTGCTGATTTTAAACAAGCAATAAAACGGGCCTTCTTGAGACTAGTTGAGTATCTGGAGCATCAGCAATTGTGGGTTCGATTACAGGCTCAAAATGGCCAGAAACAAATAACTTTCTTCTGAAACTCGTCAGTCTATTCTTGTTCTGAGAAATGAAGGCTATTCCATGCGAGAAATTGCCAAGAAACTGAAGATCTCATACAACGCTGTGTACTACTCCCTTCACAGAACAGCGCAAACTGTCTCTAACCAGAATAGAAAGAGGAGTGGGAGGCCCTGGTGCACAACTGAGCAAGAGGACAAATACATTAGTGTCTAGTTTGAGAAACGGGTGCCTCACAGGTCCTCAACTGGCAGCTTCATTAAATAGTACCCGCAAAACACCAGTCTCAACGTCAACAGTGAAGAGGCGACTCCGGGATGCTGACCTTCTAGGCAGAGTTGCAAAGAAAAAGGCATATCTCAGACTGCCCATCTTAATCTTTTCTTTTTATTGGCCAGTGTGAGATATGGCTTTTTCTTTGCAACTCTGCCTAGAAGGTCAGCATCCCGGAGTCACCTCTTCACTGTTGTTGTTGAGACTGATGCAAACAATTCTAAAAACCTGTTTTCTCTTTGTCATAATGGGGTATTGTGTGTAGGTTGAGGAAAATGTATTCAATCCATTTTATAATAAGGCTGTAACTTAACAATGTGGAAAAAGGAAGGGCTCGGAATACTTTCCAAATGCACTGTAGGCATATGCTTAAAGATTCTGAAAATATGCTCTTTGTCTTCATCAAACTAATGTTTTTGCGTATTTTCAGTGTTGAACCTGTATGTTTAGAGCGGTTATAGCCGAGGCTAACCAATTCTAAATGGCACTAGCAGTTCGCAATGTAGCTTGAGCAGAAAATAGACGGACACAATTATTCCAAAACTGCAGTTCGTTGTTCGAACACACATTTTCCTACTTCAATCAACCAGTCCATTTTGAAATTGTGATAAAACTGTCGTTATTTGGCAAGGAATGCATGTATACTGACTTTCAGTTCAAATAAGGAAATCAGTCCATTGAAATAAATTCATTTGGCCCTAAACTATGGATTTCACATGACTGGGATTACAGATATGCATCTGTTGGTCACAGATACCTTTAAAAAAAAGGTATCTTCGCGTAGAGTTGATTGTGGCCTGTGGAATGTTGTCCTACTCCTCTTCAATGGCTGTGCAAAGTTGCTGGATATTAGTGGGAACTTTAACACGCTGTCATACACGTTGATCCAGAGCATCCCAAACATGCTCAATGTGTGACATGTCTGGTGGGTATGCAGGCAATGGAAGAACTGGGACATTTTCAGTTTCCAGGAATTGTGAACAGATCCTTGCGACATGGGGCTGTGCATTTTCATGCTGAAACATGAGGTGATGGCGGCGGATGAATTGCACGACACTGGGCCTCAGGATCTCGTCACGGTATCTCTGTGCATTCAAATTGCCTTCAATAAATTGCAATTGTGTTCGTTGACAGCCAAAACCATAACCCCACCTCCACCATGGGGCACTCTGTTCACAACGTCAGCAAACCGCTTGTCCACACTACGCCGTACACGTGGTCTGCGATTGGAAGGCTGGTTGGATGTTATGCCAAATTCTCTACAACTACGTTGGAGGCAACTTACAGAAGAGAAATTAACATTAAGATATCTGGCAACCACCCTGGTGGACATTCCTGCAGTCAATTGCGCGCTCCTTCAAAACTTGAGACATCTGTGGCATTGTGTTGTGTGACAAAACTGCACATTTCAGTGGCCTTTTATTGTCCCCAGCACAACCTGCACCTGTGTAATGATCATGCTGTTTAATCAGCTTCTATGCCACACCTGTCCGGTGGATGGATTAATTTGGCAAAGGTGAAATGCTGACTAACAGGGATGTAAACAAATCTGAGAGAAAGAATATTTTTGTGCGATGGAACATTTCTGGGATCTTTTATTTCAGCTCATGAAACAACATGGGACCAACACTTTACATGTTGCGTGTCTATTTTTGTTCAGTGTATCTTGTTAGATCCGTTTTGATGGGCGTTTATTTCAGTAGGCCTAACCGGTGTGTGTAAGGAGCGGTGGGAACGCAATTGAGTGAATGAGACACAGAATTTAGGGAGAAGAACTGTGTGTCGCTTGGCTTGGTTTGGTTTCTTTTTAGTTGTGCCCCGCAAATGCACCTGTACAAATGTAATAATAATAATATGCCATTTAGCAGACGCTTTTATCCAAAGCGACTTACAGTCATGCGTGCATACATTTTTGTGTATGGGTGGTCCCGGGGATCGAACCCACTACCCTGGCGTTACAAGCGCCGTGCTCTACTAGCTGAGCTACAGAGGACCACAATACTAGTATCAAAGCAAATTAACATTGTCTTCATGACAAAATGTAACTTGCCCATTCGGGCAGCCACAAAGCAGATTCTACCAAACAGTTTTTAGTCCCCAAAATATATTAAGTGATCTCTGGTTAAAGATCGAGCTTTGATGTCCGTTCGAGTACTCAATTACTCATGCTCATGCCTAATTTGCAAGATCTGTTTTACTTAACTTTTATTAGATTTATCTGACTGGTACTATGCACAACATTAGTCAACATGCCTGTAAATGTGTCAGTTTTGTAGACAGATTTGTGTCTGTATTCCCTGGGCAGGTGGTTTTCAGAATCCGAATCAGAAAATATTACTTTCTGTTGGTGTTGTACATAGAAGCATAGACCTCAACAATGACAAATGTCAACCTTTTTAAAAGCTTGAGAAGCCATCCTTGCTGTCAGTTGAGTAAGCCAGCATCCATCCCTATATCTCATCTCCTAACCAGCTCTGGTATCAGAGCCAAACCTTATAGAGCCGTACCGCCTTTACATCTCACATTGCAAGCTCTTGCATCAGACCTAATCACACACTCTCGTTGCAGTATCTTTTTTTTTCTTCTCACCTATCAAATCTTGACGGCATAAAATGTATCATTGCATATTCTCCTCTCCCTTCATACTGAAGATGTCCCCTCTTCTCCTCTCTCCTAACCTGAATGTCCCCTTCTGTCCTTCCTCCCTTCATACCTAAGATGTCCCCTCTTCTCCTCTACTCCTTATTTACATCAAATATCCGCCTCCTCCCTATTTGCCTACATGTCCCTCCTCTCCTCCTCTCCTCCCCCCTTTCTCTCCCCTTCATACCCAAATGTACCTTTCTCCTGCCTCCTTACTTTGCTAACTTGCAATGCACCAAGTGATGGCTTGCCGTAGCTCTCTGTTGTTCACACTAGCTGGTAGGTCCTCTGTTGTGAGACCAATGTCATGGTAGTAGTTGTCCATGATGGTGGCCTCCTGTAGTATTCCTGTCTCAGGAGATCCTTCTTAACCTAAATGTCCCCATCTCCCTCCCTCCCTCCACCTTCTCCCATAACTGTCCTCTTCTGTCGTCCTCAGCCTTATGAAGATAAAGATGACTGGTCAGAGCACATCAGTTCCTCTGGGAAGAAGTACTACTACAACTGCAGAACAGAGGTCTCACAGTGGGAGAAACCCAAAGAGTGGCTGGAGAGGTACGCGTTACTCCATCTTCATTCACATAATACCCTTTTCACATGATAGATCTGAGCGTAGCTGAGCTGTATTGCGCTGGCTGGCCTGGTTCCCTTTTCAGTCAGTGATGAGCTGTGAAGCTGATGTCTCTGATGAATTCATAAACACTGCTTACCAAAAAACTGAGACTGAAGAGGGCCTTGCTTTGCTTTACCCATGTCCTGATTGTTATGGTATTAAATGTAACATAGCCAGCCATAGTGTTTGTAAGTTACAATGCCCTATGTTAGTGGTTCCCAAACTGTGGGGTGCACATGTAATGCCATAACAATCAGGACAGTTGTAATAGTAGAATGCACAAGGTGCAATTTCGAAATTGGTTAGTGCCTCATCAGTTTTCCTCTTGTCATGTCAGTCATTGCATGCCTTAGAGAGCTATTTATAACTTGTCAGACATTTCCAGATCAATAGCCCATGTCAGCCAACATTTTTTAGCTAGGTTGTTTAGCCCATAGATTTTGTTGAAATGTTTGAGTCACTCAAATATCACATGAATAAACATTAGACATGGCAAAATGTATAGAATTGCAAGAAAATGAGCTTTAAACTGCAACATTTGTATTTCCGCCAACAAGATGGTTGTGAACAGTTTGTCATGAACAGTGCTTGTGCCCATAGAAATAGACATGGACGCGCCAGGATGTTCTCCAATGCTGGAATGGGGGCCTGAGAGGAAAACGTTTGGGAACCCCTGCCCTATGTCACCTGTCAGAAATTAGGAAGATTAGCACTTTGTGTTTTAACTTAGGGCTCTGGTCAAAAGTAGTGCAATATATAGGGAATAGGGTGCCATTTGGGATGCAGACTTGAGCTCTAACTTGACTGTTTCTGTTTGTTTCCAGAGAGCAGAGACAGAAGGAGTCCTGCACTAAGTCGGCGCCAGTCAACAGTTTCCCCAAAGACAGGGACTACAGACGGGAGGCCATGCAGCAGGCTACAGCAGTCACTGGCTTTACTGCTGCTAGTAAGTTTTACAACTACATACCGGCTTTACTGCTGCTAGTAAGTTTTACAACTACATAGTGGCTTTACTGCTGCTAGTAAGTTTTACAACTACATACTGGCTTTACTGCTGCTAGTAAGTTTTACAACTACATACCGGCTTTACTGCTGCTAGTAAGTTTTACATCTAAATACTGGCTTTACTGCTGCTAGTAAGTTTTACAACTACATACCGGCTTTACTGCTGCTAGTAAGTTTTACAACTACATACTGGCATTACTGCTGCTAGTAAGTTTTACATCTACATACTGGCTTTACTGCTGCTAGTAAGTTTTACATCTACATACTGGCTTTACTGCTGCTAGTAAGTTTTACAACTACATACCGGCTTTACTGCTGCTAGTAAGTTTTACAACTACATACTGGCTTTACTGCTGCTAGTAAGTTTTACAACTACATACTGGCTTTACTGCTGCTAGTAAGTTTTACATCTACATACTGGCTTTACTGCTGCTAGTAAGTTTTACAACTACATACTGGCTTTACTGCTGCTAGTAAGTTTTACATCTACATACTGGCTTTACTGCTGCTAGTAAGTTTTACATCTACATACTGGCTTTACTGCTGCTAGTAAGTTTACATCTACATACCGGCTTTACTGCTGCTAGTAAGTTTTACAACTACATACTGGCTTTACTGCTGCTAGTAAGTTTTACATCTACATACGGCTTTACTGCTGCTAGTAAGTTTTACAACTACATACCGGCTTTACTGCTGCTAGTAAGTTTTACATCTACATACTGGCTTTACTGCTGCTAGTAAGTTTTACATCTACATACTGGCTTTACTGCTGCTAGTAAGTTTTACAACTACATACCGGCTTTACTGCTGCTAGTAAGTTTTACAACTACATACTGGCTTTACTGCTGCTAGTAAGTTTTACATCTACATACTGGCTTTACTGCTGCTAGTAAGTTGTACAACTACATACCGGCTTTACTGCTGCTAGTAAGTTTTACATCTACATACTGGCTTTACTGCTGCTAGTAAGTTTTACAACTACATACTGGCTTTACTGCTGCTAGTAAGTTTTACATCTACATACCGGCTTTACTGCTGCTACTAAGTTTTAGAACTACATACCGGCTTTACTGCTGCTAGTAAGTTTTAGAACTACATACTGGCTTTACTGCTGCTAGTAAGTTTTACAACTACATACCGGCTTTACTGCTGCTAGTAAGTTTTACAACTACATATTGGCTTTACTGCTGCTAGTAAGTTTTACAACTACATACCGGCTTTACTGCTGCTAGTAAGTTTTACAACTACATACCGGCTTTACTGCTGCTAGTAAGTTTCACAACTACATATTGGCTTTACTGCTGCTAGTATGTTTTACAACTACATATTGGCTTTACTGCTGGGAGAAAGTATTTTTTTGTTGCTTGTTTTATAATTTTTTTTACATGTCTGCCATTGAGGTCAAAATACCTTTTAACAAGGGAGACCTGGCCAAATTTCTAGAAACATGCGGTTTGACTTTTTTGTGCAATGGTGGTTGCTGAATGTTCTTATCAGTCATTGATGGTCCTTGTTAATCACATTTCTGCCTAATGTATGCTAAGTTTACCAAAAGAATGGTGCAGTGGTCTAAGGCACTGCATCGCAGTGCTAGCTGTGCCACTAGAGATCCTGGTTCGAATCCAGGCTCTGTCGTAGCCGGCCGCGACCTGGAGACCCATGGGGCGGCGCACAATTGGTCCAGGGTAGGGGAGGGAATGGCTGGCAGGGATGTAGCTCAGTTGGTAGAGCATGGCGTTTGCAACGCCAGGGTTGTGGGTTCGATTCCCACGGGGGGCCAGTATGAAATAAACAAAAATAATGTATGCACTCACTTAACTGTAAGTCGCTCTGGATAAGAGCGTCTGCTAAATGACTAAAATGTCAAATGTAATGTATGATTCAATCAATGCTGCATCTGTGAGTCAAGGTCAAGTTCTGAACGTGTGCCTCGGGAAGGAGGCTGTGTTGATCTAAAATGTTTGAAATCTGTCTTCAAAACCACTGTCTTATTCTCAGGTATTTGTGACTTGGTGTTCTCAGATGTTATTCTAATCTAAGCCTTTCATTATCCCAGTGACAATGTAGTCTCTAAGTGTATATACTGCAAGGGTGGTGGTAGTGGTTCATGTTGGGGAGCGTGCCCTGCTGTACAGCCAGTCAGTGGAGGTAGAGGGCTCTGTAACTCAGTCCGTTGAAGGACGGGGGAACATGGGCAGTCACAGAGACCTGATTTGATGTCATCTGGCAAACATAGAGAGACTGACTGCACTGTCACCGTCCGAGAGAGAGCGCAACGGAGAGGGAAAGAGAGCGAGACCTACTGCACCGTCCAGAGCCGAGTAGAGCGCTCCCCTCTACTGTCAAACCGCCAGAACACAGCGGTGGTGCACAGTGCTCTGTCTACCCTACCAGAGCATCTGGGCTCAAACAGTATTTGCAAGATTTATTTGGACTCAGGTTTGTCATGCGTGTTCACAATGCCAAGGTCACTGGTTTGTGGTTGGTCCATAAGTGGTGCGGCTTAAACAAAGGGAAGAACAGGATCAAGTTTGTTCTTTTGGAGGAGGTACTCTTCGGAAGCTAAAATGTTGAGGGCCAGCTGGCGGGAAAAAGCTGCTGTATCATAGATTTGTCAGGGAGAGATTCAGCTTTCTAAGTTAGCGCCTTACAGTCCACATGCCTACTCTCAAGTAAGCCAACAGCCAGCTTCTTCTAATCAGACTTCACAAGCCTGCTGATTTGAGATGGTTTTAATCATTTGGCATATTTATCCGAGAGAGAACTTCTGTGTGTCTGTCACTCACTCGACACAACCACTTGCTGAGTTATCATTTGAAAATGAGATTCCGCAAATTTTAAGAGGCAGTTTCCACTGGAGCGAAGCCCGTCTTTAATAAATGCATCTGCTGCCCAGTAGGTGTGTGATGATATAAGTATTGCATAATTTTTTCCTGTGGCAACAATGAAAACATGAAGCAGACAACTCTTTGGTCCTTTTAAAAGCCTTATATTTGTAAAATAATGTGTGCTATAGCTTGGAAAATAAATATGACTCTTGATGACAACATAATGTTTGTTTCCAACATTAGGGCTGTTTTCCTAAAGAAGTTAAAGCCGCTTTGTGTTTTGTTTCCTTGCCATGATGCTAACGAGTATCGCCATAATGGTATCGTCCCGGCCCTATTGTTTATTAAGCTTGAGTTCCACTTAGTTCCATTGAACATTCCCTACGAACTTGCAAAAATAATCTTGAAGAATCAGTAGTGCTGAGTGATTTAATGCTTTTTGAGGTTGGTTTGATTTTTAAAAAACACTTTTTGGGGTGGGTTTCAATATTATGTGTGTTGACTGCGGTAACAACACAGAATAAAACAGTTAATAAAAGTCCCATGATGGTAGTGACTGCCCATTACTGCTTATCACTTATTAACAGTCATTTATTCACATTACTTTACTCAAATATTTCAGTTGTGTATATTACATTTGTTTTATTTGATGACTATATTTCATTCCATGTCATCATCTCATCTCTATAGAGCTGCTGTCTGACAAAATCACTATTTTGTAGTTCTTCAATCTATTTAAGGCATACTTTTGACTGCTGAATACCAACTATCAATCTCTTAGATCATGTATTTTCAGGTAGAGATACCTCGCGACACAACCGCTGCTCTCTATATCACCTCACGATCGCGCATTCTTCTCTCTTCAGTAGCAGGTGTAAAATAAACAAAGGCCGGACATGTAGATGCGCAATGGATTATGGTCATTGTAGTTAATTGCCGTGGTTTATTTGCTATACTATGTCGAATATTGGCCTGTTGGAAACTACAACTCCCTACTACATTGCACAGTTCAGGCTGGATCTGATTTATCTCTAGAGAAACTGTGCGATGTGCGCATTGAGCTCACAGAAAAAAAACATACTAAATGGAATTCAAATAATTGTCAATTGTTTAAGAAAACGAAAATAACGGACATTTCGATTATTCGCTCAGCACTAAGAATCAGATGTGAGTGCTTTTAACATGTGAGATCTAACAAGTCTACCTCCCTCCCTCCCTCACAGAGTCAGCCCAGGTGGAGAAGCAGCCAGCGTCGGTGTCCTCACAGTCGTCCTCCTCAGGTTCGGGCCTGAACCCCACGTCGGGTACCCCCTGTTCCTCCTCGGCCCCCACCACGGTGCCAGTGTCCCCGGTCCTCCAGTCCCACGCCCACACCCCCCTGCTCCAGGACCCCTCCCTGCTCAGACAGCTCCTCCCAGCACTTCAGACCGCCTTGCAACTCAACAACGCAAGCGTCGACATGGCCAAGATCAACGAGGGTGAGAGGGAGAGAGACGCACGTGCACTGAGTCTTTTATCTGTGAGGGCTACTATGGTGAATGCTTTCGCAGACAGCAAGGGAAGCTAGATTATAGAGGGAGTAGGAGAGAGACACAATGGGGAATGTGGCTGAATACTTTAGGAGCAGCAAGTGAAACTGGACGTTTTTTTAGTTTTTGCTCATGATGGTCGTCTTTCAACCTTGTGCCCATGTTTCTCTAGCTGCCCTTTGTCTGAGGACGGAAACTCACAGGCAATAGGCAGATCTGTAGACCTGACTAGCAGGTTACTAGGGCCCTATAGAATCTGTGATGCAGAGGGAATCACGGAATACAGACATTAAAATGGAATTCAACAATATAAACAAAATGTATTGAACTTAGTAGGGAATCAACTAAATGTATTGAAAAGTTAATTCATTTGCCCAAGTTTATCAGAAGACGTGAATAGAATGCATCAGTGATTCGTATTTCCTGTAACTTTCTGAAGAGGCAACGAGAATTTCTCGTATGTGTGGCGCGCGCGCCTACCACTTTGTGTCGCTTTGATGCTAATGAAAAGTATTCTGGTAGATGGAAAGGCTTTCCCAAAAAACCTTCTCAATTAAATGTTAACTACCAGGTAGCCTATGCTTACAGCGGTCGCGTTAATGCAGAATTCTGCCCCCCCCCAAAAGATAAATGCATTATAAATATCTTGCTGCGTTTTGTAAAGACAGATCTAAAATATTTCTTATTGCAATTTCTCGGCATCAGACTGATTTTGTGCTTCAGTAGCACTTCACCACTCGGATGAGAATTCACGAACGGGCATTCTATTAAAAGACAGTGCTCTGACTGAAATGTAGCTACTTTCCTCTGGTACTTTTCTCGGTGTAGCCTACTTTTCTCCAGTAAAATGCAAGATTAGCGTCAAGTAAAACTTTAGGAAATGTAGCTGGCTACATTATTTCTATAATAAACATTAGAAATACACTACCTTACCAAAAGTATGTGGACACCTGCTTGTCAAACATCTCATTCCAAAACCACATTGAAAGTCACTGAGCTCTTCAGTTAGGCCATTCTACTGCCAATGTTTGTTTATGGTGATTGCATGGCTGTGTGCTCGATTTTATACACCTGTCAGCAACGGGTGTGGCTGAAGTAGCTGAATCCACTAATTTGAGAAGGTGTCCACATACTTTTGTGTGTATATATAGTGTATTATGGCATGCATCGTTTTTGCAAGAAAGACCTTGCTTTTCCATTGTTAGCTAATTTACTTGTGTGGCTGCTAGCCAAATAGTGTTGCACTTCTGTTGTCATCTGATGAGAATGAAGCCATTTTCTGCCGAATGTGTTGCACTAATATATTTTTTGTGAAGGAAAACTAGTTGGAGCACCTGATCACTCTATTGAAGCAAAAAAACACTGCGTCTCTCCTACCCTTGTCCTTCCTCTCTTTTCTCCCCCCTTTTCTCTCTCTTTCTGTTTGTCCCCTCTTTCTCTCTTTCATTCTCTGTTTCTCTCTTCGCTCTCTTTCTCTTTCTGTCTCTCCTCTGTCTTTTTCCTCTCCTTTGGTGTGTGTCTCAGTGTTCTGGTATTGCTTAGGGCTGGGAATGGCCAGGGACCTCACGATACTTTGGTGCCGATACGATATGTATTGTTATTCGATACTGTGATTTTATTGCGATTCGACGTTCCAAACATATTGCTCACCATATCGGCCGCAGAGACTAGAGAGCCATGAGAAAACAACAAGTTTTGATCAGTCATGGAAATGCAAGTGCTGAAAACAAATTGGCTCCCTATTTAAAAAGAAGATGGAGAACAAGCTATGAAGGAAAAATAGTTTTGGTGCAGGTACAGCCAACTAGCGCAAAAATAATAATTGTCAAAACGATACGATATGTCGTCAAATGATTTTCGGTACAGCGGGAAAGTTGCATGCCATTCACAATGTTCAGCATTTACAATGTTCCTTGCATTGTCTGTTGTGACCGGATTGTTATGTTGGGCCTCTCCAGTTTTCACTCTGATGCTGCGTTTGTAACCATTTGGGAATTTACCAGTTGTGAAGTCATAAATACTAGTTGGATGCATTCATGTGACTTAAACTCATTGAGAAATGCCGATTTGGCTAATGGCCAACAAGCTTTGTCAACCATACTACAAATAGAGCTATCATGCTTGTAAACAAATTATAGTTCAAAAACCACATTAATAGATTGCTTTTGTATAAATGTTTTGTTGGATTTAACTGTCGAAAATGCTGTTATAGAGGCAATTTCCTTAGTACCTGACATCGGAGGTCACCATGTGGGAGAAATGGTTCTCAGCATGACGACGAGTCACTGTTAAGTAAGCGCAACACAGGGTGCTATGGCCAATTCATTGAAAACTTCATCTTAGGTTTGCTTATATAGAGCGGGTACTAGCTGTTTGCTGAAATGGTTGTAAGAGGGGAGTTTGTAATGTGGCTCGGGCACTTTCATGAGGTGTTGAAACCACTACTGAAACCCCCTATTCTCAACCACGGAGTAGGTGCATATCCACGGTCTAAACCAAAGACTGTAAAAAATATATAAACACAGCCTACATATCGCTCTTGTTATTTCTTTGGCCCGGTCAGAATCTGCTGCTAAGGCTGCTTGAATGGGGAGATGACGATGTGTTTCTTTGAGTTTCCGTCTTGCTCCGGTATACGGTGGTGACGTCGGTGTAAATGTGTCAACATATTTGAGGTGTTGGCAGCTGCGTAGGCTATTCACGTTGAGTGTGGCGACGTACTGTTAATGTTTATCAACAACTCTGTCCATCGCTGTTGGAAGCTGCTGGGAAGCCAACATTTTCCCAAACTGGAGATTTTAAACGTTGATGGAGGATCCTCCAATTCTGGTTTCTCGACCTCCACCACTCGCCATCGTACATAACTATTTTCCGGCTGCGCCTCACAAAAGGACAGTTAGAAGTGCGTCAATTAAGATTATAATTTGTATTACAACATGTGCATAGGCTCTAGTTGTTTTAACGGAATAGCCTGAAATGTTTTTTCAGCTCAGATTTACTCAAGAGGCCTACAACCCAGCGTAGGCAGAGCCTATAGGCTTAGTTTTTTTATCTAATTTTAAAAAATGTATTCATTCAGGTTCACAGTGCGGACCGAACCGAGTTCCCTGTACCGAACTGTTCGGTACGAATACATGTACCGTTACACCCCTAATTAGGGATAATCTGTTATAGTTTTAGATAAAGACTATCTTTCCCAGCTTTCCTCACTATTTTCTCTCTCCCTAGTCCTCACAGCTGCTGTCACTCAAGCGTCGTTACAGTCGTTGCTTCATAAGATCCTCACGGCCGGCCCATCGGCTTTCAACATCACCACTCTGCTCTCCCAAGCAGCCCAGCTCTCCAACCAAGGTAGGACTTCTTCAGCCACGCTGTTTTATTTTGCTGCCGTGGTCGTTTTTACATCCAAAATTGACAACCTTCCTCCAACTTGCCACTGTTGACTTTAGTATTAAAAGTCTATCTAAACCAGAATGGGAATGGTGTTCAAATGTGTAACCATATCCATGTCTTCTCCCTCAAACCGCATCGAATGTCAGTGGTTGATTTTTGCCAATGTATTATTTTGTGTCCGTCTTCTTTGCACTGTTACACTTATTATATGTATTTATTTTTTGGTCATTTAGCAGACGCTCTTAACCAGAGCGACTTACAGGAGCAATTAGGGTTAAGTGCCTTGCTCAAGGGCACATCGACAGATTTTTCACCTAGTCGGCTCGGGGATTAGAACCAGCGACCTTTCGGTTACTGGCACAACGCTCTTAACCACTAAGCTACCTGCCGCCCCTCTGCAAACAAGACACTATTTTCATCTAGAATTCTGTCATAGCTATTCCCCAACATTTATTTTAGTTGCTTTTGCCACCTGCTTACAGAATGCAGCTTTGTCATGGAAATGGTTTTTAATGAATGCCTAATCATTCTCCAACCTCTCTGCTAACCCCAACAGCCCAGCAGTCGAACCAGTCCCCCATGTCCTTGACGTCAGACGCCTCCTCTCCCCGCTCCTACGTGTCTCCCAGGATCAGCACGCCTCAGACCAACACTGCTCATCACAAAGCCCTGCTCAGCACGCCACCTGTCGCCTCTCAAACCAAGGTACTGTCTACTGTAGCCTCCCAGCCTAAGGTAGGGCCTCTCTACCCCACTGTCCCCCTGAGTGGAGGGGATGGTAGGGATTTTGTTGGAGTATTTACTCTTGGTGTTTCACAGCATCATGACCAAGCTAGTCTAAGACCTACCCAGGTTGTTCAGTGTTTATTACTGCTGTAGGGGTTTCTCTTTGTGTTTTTGTCAGTATAATAATCATGTCATTTTATAAAATGCTTTTGTAGAGGAACGTGTGTTGTGACAGCAATTGAGCAAGCAGCTCTTGTTTGCCGTGCGTCTGTGTCTTGGTCTTTTTAATAATGAATGTTTATCTCACTAGAGCTACTCTTATCTGGCCTGGTCCCTGTCTGTCATTCTCTTTGTGGTCCAGGTGAACATCCATGGTTCTGGTGTTTCCTCTCTAACCTTCTTCCCCTCTGTCGCTGTGTGGTCCAGGTGAGCAACACGCCAGTTGTGAAGCAGCAGGGATCAGCCCCCCAGCCCTCCTCCCAGCAGCCCCTCCCCAGCGACAAACCACACGGACACGACATCGCCGCCTCCCCTAGGACCCTCCAGCGCCAAGGGTTAGCCTACATTGACCTTCTAGTCATTAGCAGACTCTTTTCTTTTTGATTCATCATTGGCTAGAGCTCTTTATGTGACAGTGTTGAATGTGTTGTGTGTTTTTAAAATGTTTTCAGTGTGTGAAAAATCTATAAAAAATGTCATCCTAATTTAGCAGACGCTCTAATCTATAGCAAATTACAATCTGTGTTTTCAACTAAAGGAGGTAAAACAATTGATCATTGCTACTAAGAGTCTTCAAGATGCTCTCTTGTGTTCGTCTGACTGATGTGAAGAGAAAGCAGAGAACCTCAAGGGGTGACATACAATGCCATGATCATGCCTTGTAAGAGACTGTTTACACATTATTTCAATATGTAGTGTTGTGGAGCCACCTGCTGGCGGTTTAATGGACAAGTATTTCATAAGTATTTGCTTTACACAGCTACACACAAAGACTCTATTGGATTGCGCTGTCGTTTAATTCATTAGAGTCTTAAGAAATTGGGGGTGCTAAGCTCACATATGGAATTGTTTTAAGATGGTCATACTATGGATCATTTAGCTATTTGATTTTGAATTTTAGGACCACTTTAGGTGTCAAGTGTATAAAAATTATTTGATAAAATATTGATTTTTATTATTTTGCCCTTTACTACTAAACTCCATAGAAACACATTGAATAACACATTCATAAATGTCAAAGGACAGTCAAATGTCTCATAAGAAACAAGATTTTGAAGTGTCTGTCCTAAATCTAGGAGATAGATAAAATAGATAACTCATTATTATTATTATTATTATTATTTTTTTACACACACTGTATTTAACCGCTTTTTTTGGTAGGTACAAAACTAACTTAATACTTCCATTCGTTTTTTAAAAACTGGTACAGGTTACCTTCATACGAGTGCCGTGACACTTGTGGGGGTCGTACAGCAAAACGGAGAACACCATGTTTGTGTAAATCTCCCCTTTCCATAGAGTTTATAGGCCAAACCTTCAGACGTTTTCGCAAGAAGGCCGATTTTTTTTGGGGGGATGTCTCATGGTCTTACAAACACCGCTCTAGCTTTGCCACCTTTCACCGCGGAAGTGTGACATCGGTGGATGTGATGGATTGACACGCCTCCAAATGACATCATTTGAGTCAATTGGAGGTGTACCTGTGGATGTATTTCAAGGCCTACCTTCAAACTGTGCCTCTTTGCTTGACATCATGGGAAAATGAAAATAAATCAGCCAAGACCTCAGAAAAATTATTGTAGACTTCCACAAGTCTGGGTCATCATTGGGAGCAATTTCCAAATGCCTGAAGGTACCACGTACATCTGTACAAACAATGGTACGCATGGGACCACGCAGCCGTCATACCGCTCAAGAAGGAGACGCGTTCTGTCTCCTAGAGATGAACGTACATTGGTGCGAAAAGTGCAAATCAATCCCAGAACAACAGCAAAGGACCTTGTGAAGATGCTGGAGGAAACGGGTACAAAAGTATCTATATCCACAGTAAAACTGGTCCTATATAGACACAACCTGAAAGGCCGCTCAGCAAGGAAGAAGCCACTGCTCCAAAACCGCCATAAAAAAGCCAGACTACGGTTTGCAACTGCACATGGGGACAAAGATTGTACTTTTTTGGAGAAATGTCCTCTGGTCTGATGAAACAAAAATAGAACTGTTTGGCCTTAATGACCATCGTTATGTTTGGCGGAAAAAGGGGGGTGCTTGCAAGCCGAAGAACACCATCCCAACCGTGAAGCACGAGGGTGGCAGCATCATGCTGTGGGGGTGCTTTGCTGCAGGAGGGACTGGTGCACTTCACAAAATAGATGGCATCATGAGGAAGGAAAATTATGTGGATATATTGAAGCAACATCTCAAGACATCAGTCAGGAAGTTAAAGATTGGTCGCAAATGGGTCTTCCAAATGGACAATGACCTCAAGCATACTTCCAAAGTTGTACCAAAATGGCTTAAGGACAACAAAGTCAAGGTATTGGAGTGGCCATCACAAAGCCCTGACCTCAATCCTACAGAAAATGTGTGGGCAGAACTGAAAAGGCGTGTGCGAGCAAGGAGGCCTACAAACCTGACTCAGTTACACCAGCTCTGTCAGGAGGAATGGGACAAAATGCACCCAACTTATTGTGGGAAGCTTGTGGAAGGCTACCCAAAAGATTTGACCCAAGTTAAACAATTTAAAGGCAATGCTACCGAATACTAATTGAGTGTATGTAAACTTCTGACCCACTGGAAATGTGATGAAAGAAATAAAAGCTGAGAAATCATTCTCTCTACTATTATTCTGACATTTCACATTCTTAAAATAAAGTGGTGATCCTAACTGACCTAAGACAGGGAATTTTTACTAGGATTAAATGTCAGGAATTGTGAAAAACTGAGTTTAAATGTATTTGGCTAAGGTGTATGTAAACTTCCGACTTCAACTGTGTCTATACAGTGAGGGGAAAAAAGTATTTGATCCCCTGCTGATTTTGTACGTTTGCCCACTGACAAAGAAATGATCAGTCTATAATTTTAATGGTAGGTTTATTTGAACAGTGAGAGACAGAATAACAACACAAAAATCCAGAGAAATGCATGTCAAAAATGTTATGAATTGATTTGGATTTTAAAGAGGGAAATAATTATTTGACCCCTCTGCAAAACATGATTTAGTACTTGGTGGCAAAACCCTTGTTGGCAATCACAGAGGTCAGATGTTTCTTGTAGTTGGCCACCAGGTTTGCACACATCTCAGGAGGGATTTTGTCCCACTCCTCTTTGCAGATCTTCTCCAAGTCATTAAGTTTTCAAGCCTGACGTTTGGCAACTCGAACCTTCAGCTGCCTCCCCAGATTTTCTATGGGATTAAGGTCTGGAGACTGGCTAGGCCACCCCAGGACCTTAATGTGCTTCTTCTTGAGCCACTCCTTTGTTGCCTTGGCCGTGTGTTTTGCGTCATTTTAATGCTGGAATACCCATCCACTACCCATTTTCAATGCCCTGGCTGAGGGAAGGAGGTTCTCACCCAAGATATGACGGTACATGTCCATCGTCCCTTTGATGCGGTGAAGTTGTCCTGTCCCCTTAGCAGAAAAACACCCCCGAAGCATAATGTTTCCACCTCCATGTTTAACGGTGGGGATGGTGTTCTTGAGGTCATAGGCAGCATTCCTCCTCCTCCAAACACGGCGAGTTGAGTTAATGCCAAAGAGCTCAATTTTGGTCTCATCTGACCACAACACTTTCACCCAGTTCTCCTCTGAATCATTCAGATGTTCATTGGCAAACTTCAGACGGGCCTGTATATGTGCTTTCTTGAGCAGGGGGACCTTGCGGGCGCTACAGGATTTCAGTCCTTCACGGCGTAGTGTGTTAACAATTGTTTCCTTGGTGACTATGGTCCCAGCTGCCTTGAGATCATTGACAAGATCCTCCCGTGTAGTTCTGGGCTGATGCCACACCGTTCTCATGATCATTGCAACTCCACGAGGTGAGATCTTGCATGGAGCCCCAGGCCGAGGGAGATTGACAGTTATTTTGTGTTTCTTCCATTTGCGAATAATCGCACCAACTGTTGTCACCTTCTCACCAAGCTGATTGGCGATGGTCTTGTAGCCCATTCCAGCCTTGTGTAGGTCTACAATCTTGTCCTTGACATCCTTGGAGAGCTCTTTGGTCTTGGCCATGGTGGAGAGTTTGGAATCTGATTGATTGCTTCTGTGGACAGGTGTCTTTTATACAGGTAACAAGCTGAGATTAGGAGCACTCCCTTTAAGAGTGTGCTCCTAATCTCAGCTCGTTACCTGTATAAAAGACACCTGGGAGCCAGAAATCTTTCTGATTGAGAGGGGGTCAAATACTTATTTCCCTCAATAAAATGCTAATCAATTTATACGATTTTTGACATGCTTTTTTCTGGATTTTGTTGTTCTGTCTCTCACTGTTCAAATAAACCTACCATTAAAATTATAGACTGATCATTTATTTGTCAGTGGGCAAACGTACAAAATCAGCAGGGGATCAAATACTTTTTCCCCTCACTGTATGTATGTGTGTGTATAAAATTGATTCAGCTGCGGGATCGGGGCACCACCAGTGCAGAGCTTGCTCCGGAATGGCAGCAGGCAGGTGTGAGTGCATCTGCACGCACAGTGAGGCGAAGACTTTTGGAGGATGGCCTGGTGTCAAGAAGCCAGCAAAGAAGCCACTTCTCTCCAGGAAAAACATCAGGGACAGACTGATATTCTGCAAAAGGTACATGGATTGGACTGCTGAGGACTGGGGTAAAGTAATTTTCTTTGATGAATCCCCTTTCCGATTGTTTGGGGCATCCGGAAAACACCTTGTCTGGAGAAGACAAGGTGAGCGCTACCATCAGTCCTGTGTCATGCCAACAGTAAAGCATCTTGAGACTATTCATGTGTGGGGTTGCTTCTCAGCCAAGCGAGTGGGCTCACTCACAATTTTGCCTAAGAACACAGCCATGAATAAAGAATGGTACCAACACATCCTCCGAGAGCGACTTCTCCCAACCATCCAAGAACAGTTTGGTGACGACCAATGCCTTTTCCAGCATGATGGAGCACCTTGCCATATGCAAAAGTGATAACTAAGTGGCTCGGGGAACAAAACATCGATATTTTGGGTCCATGGCCAGGAAACTCCCCAGACCTTAATTCCATTGAGAACTTGTGGTCAATCCTCAAGAGGCGGGTGGACAAACAAAAACCCACAAATTCCGACAAACTCCAAGCATTGATTATGCAAGAATGGGCTGCCATCAGTCAGGATGTGGCCCAGAAGTTAATTAACATCATGCCAGGGCGGATTGCAGAGGTCTTGAAAAAGATGGGTCAACACTGCAAATATTGACTCTTTGCATAAACTTAATATAATTGTCAATAAAAGCCTTTGAGATTTATGGAATGCTTGTAATTATACTTCAGTATACCATAGTAACATCTGACAAAAATATCTAAAAACACTGAAGCAGCAAACTTTGTGAAGACCAATACTTGCGTCATTCTCAAAACGTTTGACCACGACTGTAGACATGTTGCTGGAGAGCATCATGTCTCTCGTTCACATTTGCTTGTAAATGTCCAAACTCACTATTCGGTGGGTCTTACCTATATTCACTACATGACCAGAAGTATGTGGACACCTGCTCGTCGAACATCTCATTTCAAAATCATGGGCATTAATATGGATTTGGTCCCCCCTTTGCTGCTGTATCAGCCTCCAGTCTTCTGGGAAGGCGTTCCACTAGATGTTGGAACTTGCTTCAATTCAGCCACACAAGCATTAATGAGGTCGGGCACTGATGTTGGGTGGTTAGGCCTGGCTCGCAGTCGGCGTTCCAGTTCATCCCAAAGGTGTTCGATGGGGTTGAGGTCAGGGCTCTGTGCAGGCCAGTCAAGTTCTTCCACACCGATCTCGACAAACCATTTCTGTATGGACCTCGCTTTGTGCACAGGGGCATGTCATTGTATGCTGTAGCGTTAAGATTTCCCTTCACTGGAACTAAGGGGCCTAGCCTGAACCATGAAAAACAGCCCCAGAACATTATTCCTCCTCCATCAAACTTTACAGTTGGCACTATACATTTGGGTAGGTAGCGTTCTCCTGGCATCTGCCAAACCCAGATTCATCCGTTGGACTGCCAGATGGTGAAGCGTGATTCATCACTGCAGAGAACGATTTTCCACTGCTCCAGAGTCAATCGCGCGAGCTTTACACCACTCCAGCCAACGCTTGGCATTGTGCATGGTGATCTTAGTCTTGTGTGTGGCTGCTCGGCCATGGAAACCCATTTCATGAAGCTCCCGATGATGGAGATTGCATGGCCGTGTGCTCGATTTTATACACCTGTCAGCAACAGGAGTGGCTGAAATATCAGAATCCACTAATTTGAATGGGTGTCCACATACTTTTGTGTGTATGTATAGCTTTATGAACTGGATTGCCTGGCTTTGCAATTATTTTATTTTCGTTTGCTCTCGTTAGCATATTTAACTAGCAGCCTCTGCAAATTCGCTATTACGTGTGCTCATTTTTTAGCATTCTGGTAATAGGCGCCAAATGGGCGTCTCTTGCGTTTTTTGGTGCCCACTTGTGTACTAAAACGGTAATACCGTCAGTCCCGTGGTGAGAGAAGGACGGTATGACTACCTTTGTACTTGTTGATCTTATTCTGTGTTAGTCCATTTTTTCAGATTTTATCAGTTTGACCCTCTAATATGCAGAATTGGACTGACCCTCTCCTCTCGTTGCTCCTCGGTCATTCCACAGCGGTCAGAGGAGTCCGTCCCCAGGTCCCAACCACGCCCCCCCCAGCAGCAGCAGCAGTGCCCCCACCACCACCTCCACACCCTCCAGCTCCTCCAACCGGCCAGCCTCCTGCTCCTTCACCCCCACCCTAGCGTCACACTTCAATGAGAATCTCATCAAGCATGTCCAGGGCTGGCCCGCCGACCACGCAGAGAAGCAGGTAGGTACTTAAATGTAAATGTTACGCATCCAAGGAATTGTATGCATTACTTTTTATTTGACCTTTATTTTAACAGGTCCAATTGATAAAATACCTATTTTTCAAGGGAGATCAGTAAAGAGCTATATATAGATTGGATAGATTTTAGCAGTATTGGATACCTGATTCATGTCATTATTTTGACATGAACCTACATTCATTATGCATTGATCAGAGTCATGGCTGTTGGTATTTGATTATGTCTTGTCATAATTTCACTGCGCTATGCTCTGGATGTGGATTAATTCAACCTTTTTTCTCTCTCTCAGGCATCCAGACTACGTGATGAGGCCCACACCATGGGAAGCATCAACATGTCTGAAAATTGCACCGAGCTCAAAAATCTGAGATCCTTAGTTCGAGTTAGTGAAATTCAAGCGACATTGCGCGAGCAGAGGTAAGAATCCAGGCCCTAATTGCCTGGGATATGCATGTTAACGTCGAAATATGTTAAATAATTACAAATATTTTATCATGACAACTAATACAAGTTTATTTTTTCCTCTCATTCCTCTAGGATATTATTTTTGAGACAACAAATTAAAGAACTTGAAAAGTTGAAGAATCAGAATTCCTTCATGGTCTGAGAACTTGAGTTGAAAAGGGGTGTGGCCCATTGCACATGGTTGGAAGAGAGCTGTTGATTGGGAGAACCATTCTGTGTTCTTGTTCTGTGCCCAGTCTGAACACTTTTGAGCTGCAGTTGGATTGGCTTTGCACCGCTGGACTGGACTGGACTGGACTGGACTGGACTGGACTGGACTGGACTGGACTGGACTGGACTGGGCAGGGAGAGTCTGAGTGGTTGATGGTTGTTGGGGAGGAGAAGAGCGGAGAAAAGGGGTTGATACAAGACATGTCTGCGTCCCAAATGGCACCCTATTCCTATTCCATTTATAGTGCGCTACTTTTGAACAGGGACTATAGGGCTCTGGTCAAATGTAGTGCACTATATAGAGAATAGGGTGCCAATTGGGACGCAACCATGGTTGGTTTTGTATGCGCCCTGGAGATGTAGATTTCTTGTAGATGTTATCCATGTTGTAAATATGTTTTGTAGATGACTAAAGCCATGTTTATCAACGCTTTTGACATCCAAAGTCAATGTTATGCCGAGGAAGCAACGGCTTAAGTTCATAGCCGTCTTCATGTTAAACGCATCGGTCAGTGACTACGTCCCAAATGGCACCCTATTCCCTATATAGTGCACTACTTTTGACCAGAACCCTATAGTCCATGGTCAAAAGTAATGCACTATATAGAGAATAGGGTGCTGTTTGGGACGGAGGCACTCAGTCAGCAGACTTCAAGCTTTTTTGTTAATAGATCAGTGAACCATTGCCTTGAGCATGTCTGTGACCTATGATCTGCATGGAAACCATGGAAACTGTGGAAGATGGCGTTATAATAACTGAAACATAAAAAAAAGACCCTAATGTAACACAAACAAACACAAACAAACAAACAAACAAACAAACAAACAAGCAAAGCAAAACAAACTCAAATGTTTTCATTTTCTAGTTCTCTGTGCTCTTGAATAATAATAATAATAATAATGCTCCATGCATTATAACCCAGTCTTATTTTCCCTATTTATCACCCTCTGGTGAAAGTATAAAGGTTACACACACACAGGATGTCTCTCAAATGGCACCCTATTCCTTTTGTATGGAAGTACTTTTGGCAAACGTCGGGCACTATATAGGGAATAGGGTGATGTTTGGGAGACAGCCACACACAGCTACCCATTCCCACCATCCTCCTCAAAAGGTTAATCATGCCTGGTCGCAATGGTTCAGAGATCTGTTTGTTCACAGCTCACCATGGCCCTGTCCTACATTGCATTTCCCAAAACAGACAAACCAGTGCCTGATGGAGTGAGTAATGGAAGAAAGAGAGCACTGCAATGTTGTGCTTTTTTTTACATCAAGGACAATTCCCAATGCTAGCCTGTCCCTAACCCTGCCTCAGGCCACACCCATTACATGCAGAAGCCCAACCCCCTGGCCTAGCTCTTCTGATGAGAAGAGTTGTCTTTCTAAAACCCTCCTGTTGGTTTTTTCTTTCTCCAAAACTTTCCAGCTAAGTTATTTTTGTATATTTCTTTCTTCTTTTGGAAAACTGTACTTTTATTAAATGTGAGGTGGCACCATCTTGGTTCAACCAAGAGTTCATTCCTATGTACAGTTGGTAAGGTAAAAAAAAGTTGCAGTGATTACTAGTATATCAGAATGTTATTAATAAATTATTGCTACATGTTTTCCTTTGCACCCTGTTAGGAGTGAGTGAATGAGTGCTACTGAGAGCTATTAAAGAAGTGGTTTGGGGACACTGTCGAGGCAAGGTATGGGGTGCGTCTGAATTGGCACTGTATTCACTTTTTAAGTGCACTTACTTTGACAAGGGCCCATTGGCAAGACTAAAAAGGAGAAGACAGCGATTTCATAATTTTCAAGGTTCTTCAGCAAGTGAACTGGGAGCCAAATGGAGCTCCCAGTGAATGGACCTGAATAATGCAATTACAACTCTTGTTCTTTGTTATGACATTGTCTCAGTCTTCTTCTTTTTAGTCTTCCTGCCCAAAATGTAGTGCACTATATAGGGAATAGGGTACAATTAGGGATGCAGTCATGGAGTTGATGATCACTACCCCCACTCACCAGGGTCAGAGGTCGAGCAGGGCAATGACAGCCAGGTCACAAGGTCAAATGTGAAATGTATGTATTTGTAATAAACATGCTAAACTCAAGCGAGCACTGGTTATTTTCTGTTCGAGTTTTGTTTATTACTATTATAACGCTAGTGCCTTGTTGAAAGTCTTAAGTCACACAACCTCTGACATGGAAATAAATATTTCAAGTTTGTTTTCTATTTGATCAGTAACAAAGATATTCAATAAGCATGTCATGCATCAATCTGTAGGGTTGTTTTTGCACTCCCATCCATAATTGCATCTTTGTATTTGTATTTGTTCCCCTGTTCACTCTGAGTCAGAACAGGAACAATGTTAGTATCCCAAATAGCACCCTATTCCTTATGTAGTGCACTACTTTTGACCAGGGCACTGAATAGGGAATAGGGTGCAATTTGGGAACCATGTGTGTCCTCAGCTGTGACGTGTTTTTCTCCACTGTTCTGTTATTCTGTTGAGTCTGTGATTGAGCTGCACCAACACATTCAGTAAATATGACCACATTTGCTTTGTATATTGTTTTCTTCTGAGTATTGGGAAAAAATAAATAAAATATGCCTCTACAGGACCAAGTTGTCTCTGTTTTGCACTTTGAATTCAGTTATTTTTGGTTAATGTGGTTTGTGCCGACCTTGCCTGAGTGCCAGTCTGCTATCATGTTTATTCCTTGTCACTCACTGTCATGTCAGACATATATTTGACTTGACAACGACCGCAATGGAGTAGGTAAGAGCACAAACTGATCTGGGACCAGGGTAGTTTGTTCCAAAATTCCCACAATGAACATGTTAAATGTGTCCAATAATATGCTAATGTATTCAGTATGTCTAGTGTATCCAGAATAAATTAATGCTGCACAACTAGAGATTATTTGAACATTCGCAAACAAAGAACCATATGTGCATTTTTAGATTATTCCGTTTTTTTGTTTCTTACAACGGATACAACAGTTCTTGTCATTGTGACTGTTCAAATAGTCCTTTATGTCGACGATGTGAGTATCATAAGTGGACTGCTGTCATGAGGAATCTGGTCATGCTTGGCAGTCCTCTCTGTCCCCTCTCTCCGTTTCTTTTCTAGTTGTCCTGCTTTCCTTTACCCAATGATACTCTCCATTTAATATTCCTGTTTTCCTTCCCTTTACCCAGTTCCTACTCTAGATGTATCTCCTCTGCAGGACAGGGAATCCTCTGAAACTCAGTAGGTCTACTGAGAAGGGCTTTGATGAAGGTCACTGAATACAAGGAGTATGGAGACTGCAAAGACATAGTTGAAAGGTAAGAAGGTATATTTTACATTGAACAGAAAACACACCACCACCAATGTTTCACACATGAAACCAAAGGAATGCCAAGAAGAGTTGGTCCTCTAGTCTAGGCTACAGTAACGTCACTGATTCTACTCATCACTAGATGGCGCTGTTGTCTTTCCCATAGAATTGCACCTCATACCACAGTAAACCAGGTAGGTTTGTGCAACCTAATTCTTGTATGTTTCCTTAATTTATGACATTTGTAAATTATTTCAAATAATTCAACTAGCTCTCTTTGCTTTTCATACTCTGTAATGTTTCCAAAGTTTTTAATAACCATTTTCTCGCAACAAAACTACAAGATCACTGGACCGTAGACAGCAGGACTGAAATGAAGCAACAGCGTCTGTGAAATGTGATGTTTGGAGATGACAGGCTACTAACTGCAGTTATTTTCTTGTAAAGGTATGAATCCTTCTTGAAGATTAAACCACTGGTAAAATGTCTGGCTGGCTTAATCTCATTTTTTTTAATCAAAAGCCTGATGAGACCTGCCTCTGACAAGGTGGGAAGCTGATAACATCTTAGAATGGAGAAACATCTACAGTCAGTTCCTTTCAGTAACGTTCTTTAGTCTAGTAGTTGTCAGAGTAGTCCTGCAGTACTTAAACTTATAGGAAAAAATTACTTTGGATTTAAATATAAAAAATACAAAATGTATAGGTCATAACTGTAGCCTACATACAGTAGGATATATATGACATGTATGTTTTGTGAAGTCATACTGTAAGGTGATTTACCTTGTACAGTGTGTCAGTTAAAACAAAGTAATTAGGCTAATCCCTTTTTTGTCCATCTGGGACCTAAAAATGTCCTACATGTCGAACACAGTACTGTAGATCAGGTCTCTCATAAACCTGTAGTGAAGGCTAAAATCCTCACTGTGGGTCCTGTTGGGATCAAAGACGGCAGGCTAAATTCCCAACTTGCTCTATCTTTGAACGTTTGAATAAATTAACTCTTCCATTCATCTGAGCCGAGGCTACTAATTAACAGTGGACGGGTACCTTCTACCTTTGTAGTAGGGAAGAAAGCATTGACAATTAATGGAGCCACCCAATCTTTCCCCAGACGAGACGACCTCAAACTTGATATGACACACACATCTAAGAGAGGATGAAGACAGAGGTGTCAGAGGATGTCTGTCTTACTCTGCTCCCGTCTCGGCTGGCAGTTGGAGACCTTAGGTGAGGGGGGGGGGGGGGGGGGGGGGGGGGGGGGGTGTCAGTTCTAAGCTGACCTTTCTCTCCACCCAGGTGAGTGGATCACTGGCCAGAGTCCCGTCTGGACTGAAGGGGTCCCAAGACTTCCTTTACTTACTGAGGTAGTCTTCAACTCATCCCCACCCCCACTCATCTCCTATTCCCATTCGCTATCTATTGACAGGTAAGTGCAGTCATTCCCTCACAGCCCAAACAATAGCTCTCTAGGCATGGATCCTGTAGTCAGGCTAAAGAGAACCCAACCAGGCATCACAGACAGACAGGGGCTTGGCACTGGCAGGACAAACAGCTGCAGACAGAGCGAGGTCTCTGTCCCCGCTCCCCAGCGAAGTACAGTGAATTTGCCCCTATACGCTGATCTTGGGTCCATTTTGCATTTCCCCCACTAATGGTTAAGATTAGGATTGGGGAGGGGAATCTGATCCCAGATCTGTACCTAGCGGGAACTTCACCCCGGAGCCCTCAGACAACTAGCCCCATACACACCCTTGTTGTCTCTGAGTCACACCTCCAGGTGTCGACAGTCGTTGGCTAATGTGTGAAGGGATCCACTACCTGCTGGTTTAATGGTCAGCAACATGAAAAACCCCAGTCTGACCAGCTCACCAACACTAATCCCCTCAGCATGAAAACACACACTGTTTTGTTTTCTTACCCGTTCACTTTTGCATAATCAATCTATCTACTAGGTTCTACCCCATTAGGTGGGACTGACTGGCCATCATAGGGCAGATAAATATAATAATATAATATGCCATTTAGCAGACGTTTTTATCCAAAGCGACTTACAGTCATGGCTTAGTTTGTCTTGTCCATACTCAGTGTCCTACTTTGCACCAACCGCTTGAAACTAAACAGCCTCTCATATTATTCAGGCATATTAAAATGACTGAACAAAGATTTGAGTTAATTTGATTGATTGGTTTGAGTTGAGTTGATTTGAGTTAATTTGATTGATTCATCCAAGCCATTTTTCGTGCAAGAGAGGACAAAAAAGTATGTAATCTACAATTCAGTTTAGACACAAGGGACATTTCACTCTGAGCCAGTAGATGGCGTCATTCAACCATACAGCTGAGGTACTGGCAAAAGGCCTACCTGTCATGCATGGAACATGCCTTTCATGATTAATTTATATAGCTAGAACCTCAAGGCCTATTGGATGTTATTACAATGTCTGAGAATATCACACCCTCTATTTAATTTCTGTGGTTTCTTAGAATTGCTTTTATTTTCGGGAAAAGTGCTCTTATGTCACACAGTTGCCTCCAAACGCCAATAGCCTACATGTAAACTAAAACGTGGGCCCATATAGGCTACATAATTAACCAGAGGGAGAGCATCATTTCGGAGCACAGTAGTAGTCTTATGCTTGATCTAAAAATGAGCATTACTGTTGACAGTGTGAAAACAGTTGTACGGGCTGTGGGAAGGCATAGGCTTGTGGGAAATATGTAACTAAACTACTTATTGCCACGGTTGTCATTTTTAGAGGCAGACGAACGAGTTAGGTTTAGTTTGTTCAATATATTTGGGTGGATGACGATGCAAATCAGGGATAGGTCTGGCGCCTCTCAGGAATTACCGACAATTACCGATAATTGCTGTCTATCCAGTTATTTCTGTACGTGTCCCCTTGAGCGGAATCGCACCCCTTTACCCTTTGACACTGTGTCGATGACCATCTATCTGTAGGGCAAAGAATTAGGCCTGCGCGTCTCTATGTCTGCTCTCTCTCTTCTCTGTACTAAGGCAGTCTATGAAAATTAGTTTCCATTTAGGCCCACAAGGCTAAGCTTTTAGAACTATGTGAGTAGGCCTATGACATTTAGCTATCGTCGTGAGAATGTCGCCATTGTTGCCCTTTCCTGGAGATTCTGCCTGAAGGGGTTATAATTAGGGGATATGTACAGGCAAAAACTGCTGCTGCATAATTATCCACGAGAATGTTTGATGCTATCAGTGTAAAAACTTACCTAGCTAACATTCCATGTAGCCTATAATCTCTTTCGTTCACAGAATTCTTTAAAAAATAAACCAATTCTCAAGTTTAACACTAGCCTAAATAGGCATGCAATATCCTAATATTCATTTTTTCCAGACATAATACCACATTGGTGAATAATGCTTCACATTCTTCCTGAATTATGTGCATTATGATTGTGTGGTTTATTCTTTATTAGCCTACCTCAATCAATCAGCCTTTAAAATAGTTTTTTTATTTCATTCTTTTTCTTTTTTAAAGCAAACATCAAACAGTCTACATCCTAAGTAATCAACACATCAACGGATAGTGGCGGTTTGAGTTGAGCTGGTTGGTTTTGATATCGATCGGAGACCAGTGCTGCTGTGTGTTTTGCATAGAATTGTTGGAGGGTAATTGAGTGTCAGTGTCTGTCTGTCGTCTCAGTGGCGCCATATGCCTTTTTGGATTGCTAATTTCTCTAACCGTCTGTCCGCTCCGCCCATAACATCCATTCTCACAGGCAGAAGCAATCTAGATATCTCCGGGCTGGTGTAGCCTGGGGAACCTGCTCACGATGGCGTCGGCCTGACGAGGCAATGCGGATGACACTATAGCTACAGACAGACATGTAAAGATGAGCTAATAGCCTAGTCTGTTTAGAAGTTCAGAAAGTCATTGTTTTCATTATTAGGCTATTGAGGTAGAATGTAAACTATGGTTATAGTTTATACATGGTTTACAGGGCATTTATAGGCCCTATTTGATGCTGCTATTTAATTAAACAATGTCTCATTGTAATGCAAAATTGTAGCTGACGCCACTGTCTGCAAAATGAGTGATCCAAACTGTAACAATGTATCATCACCTTTACTGTAGCCTATTCAGTATGATAGACTATATCGCACTATCAGTAAGAGGAATGATAAATTGTGACCGCCGGGTGAACCAATGGAAATGTAAAGTTCATGAAGTATGCAAATTGAGCGAGGGGTGTCCAATGGGCGCTAATAGGGCGGAGTTATGTTACGTAGCGACGTCTGGCTCAGATATTTCTTCAACTCAAGATCCGCTACCCAAGTCGACTATTGAAGTGTTGATGCGAGAGTAGACACGTTTTATTCACATTTCGTTGTTTTCGGATTATAAACGTTATGTTTGAACATCATCGCGGATGTGTGTAAAATCGGCTGGACAAGTAGTCACATCATTTATCCGGTTTTCTACTCAAGGAATGTTTTTTATTTTATTCTTCTTTTCAGCAACTCGAAGTGTTTTTCTTTTCCAGTAGGGCTGTTCAAGTAAGCCAGTTGGCTTTTAGGCTATTTCTCATATAGCCTAGTTTTCCTATGCAGGGATAAGCCTTTCGTTTTCCGTGTGCTTTTCTTACGTCTTCCGGGGGATTGTGATTGTGGCAACTATTTAGTCTGTAGATTTCATGTAACTGTCTTCGAGCTCAGCCCTGCGGGTTTTTGTACTGGGATAAGAGTGACTAAAAAGTTAGGCTACTTGTCGTAAATGGATCGCCATTACAGTCTCATTTCCATTTGGCTACAACTGGAACTCTGTGCCATGGCTGTTCTTCTTACTAAAGGTAAACTTTGATCCCTTAAAACATGCCTTTATGTTCTCTTTGCCTTTTTCCTGACCAAAGGAAAAAGTTCAAAAAGTGGTGAATGCGAGAAAACGGGGTCAGAATCTCCAAAGGCCTTATCATTGCTTTCTTATCCGTTTCCAATTGCGCAACGTTGAAGAAGCCAAATTATTAAACAACAATGTTTTGTCAACAAAATGATTTTCTCTTCTTTCTTTACTTTCCGAACTTTGATCTTTCCTATAATAAAGAATAATTAAAAAAATAAATACAATATCCGCGCATCCCAGTGGCATGCTTTGGATATCAACTTCTAGTTGTTTAATCTACTATATTTTCCAACACAGGAGAGGTGCCATAACAATGTTATAACTAAGAAAAACGTAACTTTCTATACAGTAGGTGGTCTGTGTTTTCCCCCCACGAGTTCCTATAGCAAGGCCTCCATAATGGTGAAATTGGCACTAAACAGACTGAATGGCCCTAATGTTTCTCATAGTTCTCGCGCTAGTGCACATAAATCTGATATATGTGATATTATGTAGCCTATAGGCTATAGCGTTTAATGTAAATAATTAAACTCGAGTCTCCAAAGTAGAAACCAAAGCCCTGTAGCTACTAGGCTACGTATGATTGGCTCCTATGTATAAAGCATTTGGCAATTACGAGACCATATTAATTAGTTTGTTGCCATAATGCCATTATAATGTGTTTAGGTCCCTGTCAATGGTCAGCTCATGATTAATACGATGATAGCATGTAACTGGAGACTGGAAGTACACAAAAACAGCGTGTAACAACATACAACGGCCTGTGTTTATTTGTGTGTTTTTGTGTTTGTTGCTGTCTTGTAACAATGTTAATTAGCCTTTAACTAATAAAGTTATCGATTTATATTAAATTATAACAGGTTGATACAAACAGCCTGTGCCATATTTAACTTGTTGAACTCCATTAATTTATTTTCAGTAAAAATATATATATATATTTTAAAACATCTGACTATAAGTGAAACCGTATTCGTAGCATTTGCTGCGCGTTCTTGAAATTTATTAATTTGTATTTTTTTGCAAAAAAAATGAATCATTATAAGGTTGTTTGGTGGAAGCTTTTGAGATGAGAAGCCGTGAGAGCTCAGTGCACCCAGCCCATCCTGACCACACTAAAGCTTGCGTGAAAACTGAAAAAGGAGACTCCTGCGCCGCTCTCTCACCCCCCTTTACGAGTTTCCATTTGGGTTTAAATAAATTGACTTTGGCAAACAAACCACTAATTATAAGATAGACGGTTCATGTTTTGTAATAGGGACTAAAATGACCCTTTTGCACGGAAAGCTCTTAACCTCGGCTTATTTACTGTATTTCATTTTAACACATCTACTCTGTCTTTCAGGGTTTACCTTGTCATTTACATGCGTTTTGCCAATGTCAGTTCAGATCCGACTAGGCAGTCTTTAAAATACACAAGTAGTCTGGTTTCCGATTCAAATCTCGAAATAGCGAGTTGAGATCATTATTTGGTTGTTAAAAGTAAAGTAGATATGCTATTGGCTTTATTTTATTATTGGATATAACAGCCATGTGTGTGACTATATCATACGTCCATCTGAGAAGTATATAAAATGTCACAAATTTTACTACGAAACGCAAGACTTCTCCCCTGTTGGAATACGTTTTGATTTCCAAAACTGCTGCCCAGTTAGAAAAGGCAGGCCTAGTCCGCGGAAAATGTTTTAACACACAAACAATTGCATTGAGACATTATTACTAGATAATAAAATGCAGAATGTGTCGTCAGTTATTCTTGAAATGTTGGAGAATAGGCTACCATTTAGCCTTCAACACTTCATAAACTAATCAAGTAGGCCCATGCCTAACACGTCGTATTTATGTTCTTTTTTTTCTTTTAGGAGAAATACGGTGTTACTGTGATGCCCCTCACTGCGTGGCCACCGGCTACATGTGTAAATCTGATCTAAACGCCTGTTTCACCAAGGTACTGGACCCTATGAACACGAACTCTCCCCTCACGCATGGGTGTCTAGATCCCATAGCGAACGCTGCCGACATGTGCAGCGCTAAGAACACAGATGCCCTGAGTGGGGGCTCGTCTATGCTAGAGTGCTGTCACGAAGACATGTGCAACTACAGAGGCCTTCACGACCTGGCTCACACCAGAGAATCAACAGGTAAGAAAGGAGAGAGAATCGAAACTTTAAATTGATCTAATGTGGCTCTGACTGTAAACCATATGGGTGCTGAAGTTATTATTTTCTATTCTATAAGGTGTATAATGTGTGACAGACAGAGTAACACAACTGACGATTTGTAGTGTAGCATATTCAGGTTGTCTCCCTGTAATATTCTGAAATGGTGTTTAGATGTACCATAGCCCTATACTGTTACTGTATCAACCACAGAGGTTAGTTTAATGGTCTACTGTAATGACATGCCATCCATACATCTTTTTCTAATTCCAACCTTTACACAACTTCAGTTAGATTTTAATGGGTTGCAGCACAGCGGCAAAGAGAGGAGGGGGGGGGGGGCAACCAGTTTACCTTAAGAACTTGGATGCAGATCAGATATTTTTTTTTGCATGTGCACCATGTAATTTCTCCACTGAGTAGGAATGTGCCTTGTAGAATATGCTTTCACAGGCTGCATGTAGGAGGGCATAAATAGTAGCATCATTGAGTTATGAAAAAGTGCATAGTCTTACAGAGAGGAGGGGAGAGCTCTCAAGTAGGGATTTTTGTTATGACTCAGTCCAGGGGAGTTTAGCTAGTTTATTAGCTGAAATTAATTTATTTTGGCTCATATTTTTGGGATAAGGCTCGGCGACTCATTGCATTTCCCTTCTGAAAGCAGAAGACAAGTTTCCACTGGACATCAGTGTACGTTGGACAATAAAATAACCTACCTTTCCTCGTCTCCTCCTCCAGACCACGGCAGGTACCAGGCTGACAGCAACAACCGTCACCTGGTCACGCGGGTACAGGAGCTGGCCTCGGCCAAAGAGGTTTGGTTCAGGGCGGCGGTGATCGCGGTGCCCATTGCTGGAGGCCTCATCCTGGTCCTTCTCATCATGCTGGCGTTACGGATGCTCCGCAGCGAGAACAAGCGGCTGCAGGACCAGAGGCAGCAGATGCTGTCGCGGCTCCACTACAGTTTCCACGGTCACCACACCAAGAAGGGTCACGTGGCGAAGCTAGACCTGGAGTGTATGGTGCCCGTAACGGGCCACGAGAACTGCTGCCTCACCTGTGACAAGATGAGACAGGCAGACCTGGGGAACGACAAGATACTGTCTCTGGTACACTGGGGGATGTACAGTGGGCATGGGAAGCTGGAGTTTGTATGACTTACTTTTCTAAGTTTGTTTGACTTGACTTAATGTCCCCCCCACCCGGCCAAAAAACAGCCAAGACTGCCTCCTCTACTCGTTGGGTTTTCTCTTTTAACTTTAAAAATGAATCCCCCTTTTTGTCTATTTTACTTAACAGTTTTTTTTTTTTCAATGGAGGAAAAAAAGAGGACTGAGCGCAAGCCTTGTGGTTTTTGCTAAAGGAGCACTTTACTTGAAAATGAAAGGCAAACCAACGAGGAGCTGTATTTAAACTTGAGAGGACAGGACTGACCGACAGACTGAGAGAGCTCTGTCAAGACCCTGTCTGCGTGTGGAACCTGGACTTTACACTGAGCGCTGAAGGATTCCAAATCTGTCTTATTTGCACATTTGTAAAAAAGTAAAATAAGTTGTTTTGCTTAAAAAGAAGCTAAATAGAAGAATACTTTTACACTGACACCAGGGTACAAACATTACTTTTTGAGGAGTAAAACAAAACAAAAAAGTTAAATAATTCAGTGTTGACTGTAGGTGTGCACACTCCTCCTCTGTGTACGTTTCTTGATCCAAGCTTATTGTAAAGATTTTAAATATATATATTTTTGTCTGAAAGAAAGACCCTGTCCTGTGTGTTCTTCCTTGCTGTGTGAAAGAGAGGAACCGAGAGCTGTGGCTCATGTCAGAGTTTTTTTTCTAGCTGTTTCTTTCTGGTTTGTGTGTACATTAGTATGTAAGAGGATGTGTAGTGAGTGAGAGGACCACGCCGCCATGGGGGTGTGACGTTTCATACCCAGACGGTGGGAGTGTGTGTAGTACCAGGCAGAGTGTGTAGGCCGTGTCGTGTGTGTAGGACTGACTTCACAGTGAGGCCTTGTTTCACGGTAGTGCTCCACATCTGACTGAGTCATTCTTGAACCTCCTCCAAAGGTCAGGATCTCAGCTTCAAACACATTCTGTTTCTTTCATTGCACACGTTGGATTTCTCCTGGAAGTAGTGTGGGTATTTATTTTATATTCAGTCTAAGGCCAGTATAAGCCCTCCCCCATTCAGCTTCTCTGGATGTGTTTCAGCCAACACACTAACCCTCCTGTATCCCAGCTTGTGTTGATGAAGAGAGCTCTTTTCCTTGCCAAGCGACTAGGCTAGCGATTATGCCACATTTACCACTCTTATTACACCACTTAGAAATAGATCTCAAGTCTGAGGGTGTTTTATTAAAAGAGTTATGGATGGGTTATCAGGAGAGTTCATATGGAACCCACAGAGTTATAGCTTCAATAATGTGTGTCTAGCTGTATTACTTAAAGCCTGGCCATAGTGAGACACATATTGCATGGTGAATTTCAACCAGCTACTTTTTCTTTTTGAGGTGAAACGGATTTAATTGGTATTTCAATTACGTTTTTGTGAGAATCCATGTAACAGCTTGTGGATAAATGATGTGGAAGAATCAATAATGGCAATGCAGGATTCTGTGTACTTCTAGTAACGATAACATAGCAGCCTAAAAGTTAGGCCTTAAAAAGGAACATAACACGTTTTGGGAACCAAGGTTCAAAAGTTCAAATGGAACTGTGTTACCTATCTCCGTGGTAACCATGACAGATAGAGAAGGGCAGTAAGTCGTTTATTTTAGGTCCACCTGTGTGTGTGTGTGTGCGTGTGTGCGTGTCTACTGTGTGTGTATGTCAGTTCCAGGCTGACCTCTTGTTTCTCTCCATTAGGCCTTCAGGAAAACACTATTACCAGGCTAACCACTTAACAGCAGTCTGCATTAGCCGGGCCTCAGCCCACGCAGACACTTAGTCTCCCCAGGACTATTACCCTGGAATAATAACAAGACCCTCTGGTTTGGACAGCTAATGTGCCCCGTGTTTTCACTCTGCTCGCTCCCATCACCTGCTGATACCAGACAGACAGTGATGTCTGAGGGGGGAGGGCACGTGCACATACATACATTCAGAAGCACACAAACACACACACAGTATGCAGACACACACACACACACATACACAGAGACTATTAGGGCCTCTTGATGCTACAGTTAGACCCCATGCACAGTCACAATGGCTCTACAATAAAACACTTCTCCAGGCCCATTAGGATCGGCTGCCATTTTGCTGAGCGGCAAGCGGTCAGGCTGTTTGTATTGACATGCAAATTTAATGAGGTGGTCGACTGGCTCCCTTCAAAAGCCCAATTTGTTTTGAAGTCACTTCAAAATGTCCCCTTTCTAACTTGCCAGTACATTTTTATTTATGTAGATTCTGGTTGCATCTCGAATGGCACCCTGTTCCCTATGTGGTGCAATATGTAGGGAATAGGGTGCCTTTTGGGACACACCCTCTCTCTCGCATGTAGACCTCTCAAGAATGATAGGCTCATAGACTCCAGTCCCAGATTTCAGCACTAGCAGCAATGAGGGCGAAATATACAACCTTTATTGGTATTTGACATTTTCCGAACCTCATAGAAGGGAAGGTTAACTACCGTGATTTAAATCAGAGGTGGTTAAAAAAAATCTCCCCCCTCGCTGACGATATAACGCTCATGCAGTCGGTGCTGTATGTGTATAGGGATCCCAAGGACTATTCTGTGCCCTGTGTTAAACAATATATGAAGTGTAAACACACATGGGACCAGTTAACACCTGCACATAGTAATGGATACACACACAGCTTTTATAGCCTTGTATGTTATTCTTGTTTTCCCCTCTTCCTCCTCCCCTTCCTCAGGCTCTATAGAGATTTCAGGTTATCCATGTTAACTAATTGATCATGAGTATCTTTATTACTCAGGATTTATCCTTGGTGAAGATTACAGGTTAATGCTTCTCTGTCTCAGTAGAAAACTCTTGACAACATAGAATTTACTCACAGTACACATAAACGGATATGCGGACAAGTCTATATACAGTTGAAGTCGGAAGTTTACATACACTTAGGTTGGAGTCATTAAAACTTGTTTTTCAAAAACTCCACACATTTCTTGTTAACCAACTATGGTTTTGGCAAGTTGGTTAGGACATCTACTTTGTGCATGACACATTTACATTACATTTTAGTCATTTAGCAGACGCTCTTATCCAGAGTGACTTACAGTTAGTGAGTGCATACATTATTTAAAAAAAAAATCATACCCCCGTGGGAATCGAACCCACAACCCTGGCGTTGCAAACGCCATGCTCTACCAACTGAGCTACATCCCTGCCGGCCATTCCCTCCCCTACCCTGGACGACGCTGGGCCAATTGTGCGCCGCCCCATGGGTCTCCCGGTCGGCTGCGACAGAGCCTGGCACAAGTAATTTTTCCAACAAGTGTTTACAGACAGATTATTTCACTTATAATTCACTGAATCACAATTCCAGTGGGTCAGAGGTTTACATACACTAAGTTGACTGTGCCTTTTGGAAAATTCCAGAAAATGATGTCATGGCTTTAGAAGCTTCTGATTACATTTTACACTTAAGGAATTTAGCAGATGCTCTTATCCAGAGCGACTTACAAATTGGGTGTACCTGTGGATGTATTTCAAGGCCTACCTTCAAACTCAGTGCCTCTTTGCTTGACATCATGGGAAAATCAAAAGAAATCAGCCAAGACCTCAGAAAAAGAATTGTAGACCTCCACAATTCTGGTTCATCCTTGGGAGCAATTTCCAAACGCCTGAAGGTACCACGTTCATCTGTACAAACAATAGTACGCAAGTATAAACTCCATGGGACCACGCAGCCGTCATACCGCTCAGGAAGGAGACGTGTTCTGTCTCCTAGAGATGAACGTACTTTGGTGCGAAAAGTGCAAATCAATCCCAGAACAACAGCAAAGGACCTTGTGAAGATGCTGGAGGAAACAGGTACAAAATGATCTATATCCACAGTAAAAGGAGTCCTATATCGACATAACCTGAAAGGCCGCTCAGCAAGGAAGAAGCCACTGCTCCAAAACCGCCATAAAAAAGCCAGACTACGGTTTGCAACTGCACATGGGGACAAAGATCATACTTTTTGGAGAAATGAAAATAGAACTGTTTGGCCATAATGACCATCGTTATGTTTGGAGGAAAAAGGGGGAGCTTGCAAGCCGAAGAACACCATCCCAACCGTGAAGAACGGGGGTGGCAGCATCAAGCTGTGGGGGTGCTTTGCTGCAGGAGGGACTGGTGCACTTCACAAAATAGATGGCATCATGAGGAAATTATGTGGATATATTGAACCAACATCTCAAGACATCAGTCAGGAAGTTAAAGTTTGGTCGCAAATGGGTCTTCCAAATGGACAATGACCCCAAGCATACTTCCAAAGTTGTGGCAAAATGGCTTAAGGACAACAAAGTCAAGGTATTGGAGTGGCCATCACAAAGCCCTGACCTCAATCCTATAGAACATTTGTGGGCAGAACTGAAAAAGCGTGTGCGAGCAAGGAGGCCTACAAACCTAACTCAGTTACACCAGCTCTGTCAGGAGGAATGGGACAAAATTCACCCAACCTATTGTGGGAAGCTTGTGGAAGGCTACCCGAAACGTTTGACCCAAGTTAAACAATGTAAAGGCAATGCTACCAAATACTAATTGAGTGTATATAAACTTCTCACCCACTGGGAATGTGATGAAATATATACAATCTGAAATAAATCATTCTCTCTACTATTATTCTGACATTTCACATTCTTAAAATAAAGTGGTGATCCTAACTGACCTAAGACAGGGATTTTTTACTAGGATTAAATGTCAGGAATTGTTAAAAACTGAGTTTAAATGTATTTGGCTAAGGTGTATGTAAACTTCCGACTTCAACTATATATATGAGGACACACTATAAACGGTTTCACAAATGAACTCTAGGACCTTTTCCCTTTTCAGAGAGAGTTCTTGTAACTCCTCTGGCCTGTCTTGAAAATATACGGTGTAAATGACCCACTTAAGACTATTTACTTGTTATCCATTAAAATAAATAAAAATATATTCTCAAAAACAAACAATGCATCATTTTAGAAAACAACAATTTATAGGTTTAAGAAAATAGATGTTCTTGTTGGGTTGAAATGTGACGCATATACAAGTGTCATTCTGCCCTGTGACGAATGGACATCCATTTAAATAAGACATGGAATAAATATTTATTCCACCCAAAGCAAGTTGACTTCCTTTGAATGAATAAAACATGGGTCGGTCCCTGTCCTCATTGACCTTCAGCCCATCTAAACATTTAGCCCTGCATGTTGTTAACATTTAGATAAAAATCTGTTTTAAGAGGAAAAATAAAGTTGGGAATGTTTACGAGATCCGACTGGGGCTCTTGAAGCTTAATGTCACCGTCTGTAAATAGACGTTTTGTTATGTTTTTAAACGGGGGTTTCTCAGTTGCATTCCAACCACGGTTAAATCAAACACTATCTCTCCAAATGAAAGATAATTAATTTAAAGAAGAGTCAGAGACTGAGACAGAGATTGATGATGATTGTCCCGTGTCGCTCAATTGGTAGAGCATGGCACTTGCAATGCCAGGGTTGTTGGTTCGATTCCCACGGGGACCAGTACAAATGAAAATATATGCACTCACTACTGTAAGTCGCTCTGGACAAGAGCGTCTGCTAAATGACTAAAATTTCAAATTAAATGAAATT